CAATGCTGTCTGGTGCGTATCCTTCATTTCTGTGTGGGAGGGGTCTTCGAGAAATGAGTAGAGGATTTGCGTGGAATCTCAGGAACTCCCCGCTTGTTGGCTCGTTGCAAAAAAATTGTTACGTGATTCCCTATGTGTGGCCAACTCCCCGATCTCCTAAAAATAGAAATAAATGAGCTAATCGGTGGAGTAATCTTTACTTAAGGATTTGTACTTCACTAAATTTTGGTCGGGCCTAGCCGAACAGCTAAATATAACGGAGTAAAAAGCAAATCTTCATAAGTTCAACATAGATCTGATTTAAACAACCGAAATTTAACACATAATGTACATAATAATTCCATTTAAACCTAAACATGAACATGGAACTTAAAACTAAACATAAATTTAAACCAAAACTAAACATCATCGTCATCGTCACCCTCGTAGAGGGCGAGCCAATCCGCCCGCGACATCCCACTGCCCATGGGGCCCGGGCATGTGCCGTCGGAGTCGGAGTCTAGGAAGATGAACTCCTCCTCGTCCTTGCCGCCGTCGTCATTGCCATGCTCCTTGTGGTCGGAGAGGACCATGACCTCCCCGTCAACCGCGCGCTCCAAGAAGATCGATCGCTCCGCCTCTACAAGCTCGGGGCACTGGCAGCGGAGGTCCACCATGTACTCCTCGTCGGTGGCCTCTGTCGCGATGAGCTCGCCTCCCGGTCCTCTCTAGCCATCGCCACTCTCACCACCCTTGGCGGCGGCAGGGTGAGCTCGACGGGCATCGTCCCCCACAGGAAGTTGAGGCGCGCCGCCACGCCGTGCAACCGGACCTGCTATAGGTCATAGCTCTGGGTATAAGAAAAACACAGGAGCAAACATTTAGATGATTTGTGCCTTGCCTACCGTACGCGGAGACGTGTCCATAGATATTTGGTGCCTTGATCTGTGTTGGAGTTGGACTTACGCTTCAACACCTGCATGCTTAGGCCCTGTTTGTTTCAGCTTCACTTAGATTTTAATCACATATGGATTCGCTTTACTTGCAAAGCTGATTCACAGAATCAGCTTCACCACCGAAATACACTTTGAGGTGCTTCAGGAAATTACACTAAAAAGGGGCCAAATTAAGAGGTGCTTCAGGAAATTACACTAAAAAGGGGCCAAATTAAGATTCAGCTTCACTGGCAAAGCTGATTTCAAATTGCTGCTTGTTTCAGATTCCAGATTCAGCTTCACTGGTAAAGCTGAATCCGGTCCCAGAATCCAAAACAAACAGGGCTTTAATTGCTGGTCTTGTAGGGCCCCCACAGGCCACAGCTCTCGAGATATGTGGCTATTTTTGGGAGCTTTGTTTTGTCTTCGTTGCTGTTGCTTTCCCTGTTTTGTTCCATTTGTTGCTGTGCTGCTCCTAGTTTTCTGAAAGAGAGTGATGCCGTGCAGTGCAGCTTGCTGCGCTCAAAGCCACGTTTGCGATGAGTTGATGGCAGTGCTACGCCACTACTGCTGCTGGATTCTTCCGTGTTTTGTTTGAGAACAAATTGGACCCACCAAGCTATTGCATTAAAGAAGAAAATAAACTAATGATCGCCCACACGTATAACAACATTCTGGTATAATCACCAGTAGGCCAATTGACATATTATTAGGGATAACACAGGGAGAGCAAGGTACGCGAGCCGAATGACTTCAGAACAACAAGAGTGATGATGCCCAAACCTAACAAAGAGAAATCCTACAAAAGAATACCATCAAGTGGGCCAGTTATTGGTTGGATGTGCATAAGAGTTCATCAGTTATCAGATAACCTTCTAACTGCGGCGTCCAAATTACAACACAACTATTCGATGCCCCAAGCATGAATTTCTCCAAGTGGACACTTCGAAAACAAACCAACTTTATTGCACTTTCCTGGCTTCTGCCGGGGGCTTCCAAAGACCAAGGCGGTACTTGTGAGCAAAACTCAAAATCAACTTCCTCTGCACCATGGCAAAGAAACCGAATTAGTAAATTAATTCAAGCATAATTTAATCATAAGTTAACCGCCTGGAAAAGAAAGGAAATTAAACAGAAGAAACATATCACAGTAAATGTTGATGATGGCAAATAGTGGCTAGCGAGCCGTGAGCTATCTTTCGAATTTGTGTGGATTGGCAACCTGGATATGTCGAATATCTGAAATGCTTCTCAAGCACTAGTTTGGCTGCTGTTATTTAGAACACCGCTCACGGTATTTTACAAGCAATTGGAACATCCACCAAATGTTACCACACATTTACAAGCTACCTACTTCCTAGGAAACATCATAATTGACTAAGTAACACTTCATACATGTTAGTATGCTGGCCGTTAATTGACAGAAGAAATTAGTTCAATGCATTCACATTCAGAAATTACAGATACGGTACATCTATCAAAATTTGCAGCTTCAATGCAGTTATTGAACTGCAAATGCATTCAACTCAAAAATTTCCAAGTCCAAATCAGATTTCAACATATGCCAGCCTCCTCCTACGCCGGGCTGCCACATGCCTTGGCCAGCCCACCATATGGCACAACAGACATATTGTGGGTGTCAAGTCCTCCAACCAAGCCTCCACTGACGTCCAAGCTTTGTCCGTTGGTGCTGCTATTTCATGTTCACTATAGTAACTAGGGGAAACAAACAAGTACAAAGTTGCTACCTGAATGTTGGTGCACTGGAATCTTATTTCCTGGTTACCCTTTTTATACCCACAAATTCTATTCTAACAGATTATCGGGGATTCATGGAGCATGTTTGATAAATATGTTGGAACTTCTCTGTATTGGCGTGAATAACCCATATGTTAAAATAGTGCCAGTTGTACTCCTGGTCCGGCAACAGCTCTGGTTGTATGCTTGGATACAAAATGTCGTCTAGATAACATGTACATTGTCTAAGGGTTTATTTGTAAGATTCAGGGAGTTCCCGCAGTTCTTGCTATGTGGAGCCTGCAATTTTTATTTAATTCCAACGTAATTATGAATTAAGTTCTTGATCAGAACCATTCGATTCATTTATACTGAGAGATGTAGTAGTATGAACATTTTTTTTAGATATGATTCTTATTTTCTCAACATATTAGACTCATTAAGCCATTCTGCAGCTTAAGAATAATAATACGAACCTCTCAGACATCCTTGGAGACGACAGGAGCAGCCAGGAATCGAGGAAGTTGAAAAAATTCCCAGTCGCATGTAAGTTTACCTCCCCTCCCCTCGCGTCACTCCCGCGAGCGACCGAGGGGATAACCCTAGTCGCCGGCGCGCGTTCCCCCTTCCTCCCCTCCCTCCCTCGCCGCCGCCTGTCCGCGCCGCCAGGCAAAGCCCGGTGGGTGCTGGCAGCGGCGGGGCCCTTTCTCTCCCCGCTCGTGGAGGCTTGGCGCGGGCGGGCGCTCCCGGGTGGCGGCGCGCGGCTGCGCTCGGCGGCGGTGTTGCAGAGTGGCATGCCAGGCGTGCAGGGCCGGACGCGGTGGTTCTGGGTGGTTGCGTGCCCGGGGTGGCGGCGGCGACTTCGGCTGGATCTGCCCCGCGGGCAACGCGGGCTGCGACAGCTCTGTTCGAGGCGGGCCTGGCGGCCGTTGGGTGGCTCAGGCGATGGTCGACCCCCTCTCCTTTGCTCTTCGGCTGGTGTGCGTGACGGACGGTGGCGGCTTGCTGGTGGTTGTCGGCGACTTGGCGGGGGTGCCGTTGGCTGGCCGGTGGTGGTGGGAGCGAACCGGGGAGGGGGGCAGGGGGCCTCCTGGCCGTGCCGATGTCTCGGTGGTCCTTGTCCCCGGTGGAGCGGTGCGGTGGCTGCGGCGAGGACGAGGCCGGCGGCTACCGGCGCCCCTTCCCTGCCTGGATCTGGCCGGCTAGGCCGCCTTCCCACCAAAAGGTCCGTTTTGGGGTTGAAGGAGGTGCCTTCTACCTCTCACTGGTCGGTGGCGTCCATTAGCCGTTGTGGTGGTTGTTGTGGGGTCTTGGATGTCGGGGCGGCGGCCTCGATGGTGGTGGTCGCGCTGCTTGTGGGCGGGGTGCGCGGCTCAGGTGTGGGCTGGTCGCTATGGCCGTTTGGGCGGCGTGGCGGCCGGTGCTTCGGCGAGCGGTGATGTTTCGAAGGTGGAGGGTGCCTGCCAGGAGAGACCCCCTGCTCGGCTTCGGTTGGGCCGACGACGGCGGCATCCGCGGGCGTCGTCTCCTTCCTGAAGGCGTCGTCGTGGCTACTCTCCTCCTTCGGATGGTCCGGGTGAAAACCATGATCCTTTGGATCGGGCGGCGACGGCGCTCCGGTGTCATTCTCCTTCTTGAAGGCGCCGTCTTGAAGGCCTCCTCTCGCCGAGCTCAGCTCCGTGGCTGTTCCTTTACCTGTTGTATCCAGCCTTGGGTGTGTTGTGTGGTGGTCTGGTGTGGCGTTGAGTTGTTTGCGATGATTGTAATCGGTGATGGTGCTTTATATATAAAGCGGGGGGAAACCCTTTTTCGGTAATCGAATAATAATACACAAAGAAACAAGTTTGGTTTCCTCATCTTAGCCTATCAGGTTTCTGCTCCTAAAGATGTTCACAGAATTTCTTTATATACTTGTTTCATGTTAATATGTTATGGCACAATGTGCTCAGCTAGATCGATAACATTTTTGTTTCCATTCAAACTTTTGCGTACGGTTGATTTAACATTCTATACTTGGCAAATCGTTATGATTACATATTTATTGTTGTAACCAGCGTGTGTGCGAACATATCAACTAGGAGGCTTACCATTTCTCATAGCTTTGGAAGCAAACTGGACCTCACTAAATAGAGCTGGGATGTTTCTATTAGATGTCTGGTTTAGTAAAATGCTATCTAAAGATGAATGCGACATTCAGATTAATTTCGTTCAGTTTACTTGTGCATTTCCTACAATTATAACACTTATGCAGTGTCGTCTTTTAATCACCTTTTTATCAGTCTTAAGTTAACTAAGAGTATTGACATTGCAGTCCCAAAGATTTTTCCTAATTCTGTGGCAATTGCTCATAAATGCTGGTTATTAGGACATCGCTATACGATATGTCAGGGATTCTGTTACGACAACTTTGATTTTAAACCCCGGAGAGGTCTTACCTGGTGGAAACGTCATCCAAGGACCCATCACATGCTAATGAGTTCCACATAGGTATGACACTGAGTCAACAATGTGATGTCCGAGCCCCGGTTTACTCTGGTATTTGTATGCTATCCTAAATCATGCTATAGAACACCTTAATTGGTTCTTTCTGGATATGTGTGTGCCAATTTATATGCAATCCTATACCTGAACATTGGACGGATCAAGACATTTCGAACAAATTTGGCAGACTTTCTCCAATTACTTCATCAAGATGGATAGGGGCGAGGCAACGTGCACCTTTGCGTTTGTGCACATGAATCATCTAATACCAAACTAATCGGATGGCTCTTATCCAAGCATCACAACATTGGAGAACAAAACCTAACCAAACTATACATTTACACAACGAGATGCCCGAAGAAACCGGGCGTAGCCAGCAAAACCACATCAAGCCTTCTGTGAAATAACAAAGGACACACCAACTAAATCAAAGGAATGTCCTGAGCAGGGAGGAGACTAACATGCTTGCAGGGGACGCCGAGCTTCTTGAGCCGTAGCGTGCGGGTCTCGAGCAGCCTCTGGAGATCACCTCCTACGGCCTCCTCCAGCTTCGCGGCGTGCGTCTCCACCCCCTTCCCGACCCCATTCAAGAACTCCACCACGCCTACCTTGGCTGCGCACAGGAATCCCAATCCACTTCACCACGACGAACGGCGAAGAAAGAACCACGAAGTTTAAGGATCAGGAGGAAAGAAACTAAGCAGGTGTACCTTGGTAGGGCTGGGCGTAGAAGGATCTCGCCGGAGCTCCGCCGCCGGGGTGGAGGAGGAGGCGGCGCACATTAGATGCACAGGCGAAGGCCGCCATAGGGGAGACTGAGGGCTTGATCCTTTTTTCTGACAATTGCTTTTTTGACAATCTACCGCTGGATACTCCAACCCTCCAGAGCCCGATTAGGCCGGCCCAGTTACGCAGTTTTCTACCACCAGTTCCAGAAAGGTAATTCTAAAAAGAAAACAGTTCCAGAAAGGTAATTCGAAAATAAATAAATAAACTGTTCCAGAAAGGTACTAAACCTTCCCCGATCGTTTTTTTTTCTGTTTTTTCATTATTTTATTTGGATTAACGGTCTTTTTTTACAATTCACGAGCATTTTCCGAATTCACAATCTTTTTTGAATACATGATATTATTTTCAAATTTATGAACATTTAAAAACAATCATGATTTTTTTGAATTCATGAACATTTTTTCAAGTCATGAATTTTTTCCATATCAGGCCAATTTTTTAAATTAGTGAACATTTTATGAATTCACAAGCATTTTGTGTATTCATGTTTTTCTTTTCTAATTCGTGAACATATTTTCACAAATTGCAACATTTTTAAATTCATGCTGATTATAAATTCGTAAAAGAAAATTCAAATTCATGAATGTTTGTTTGATTTTACATTTTTTTTATTGAACATTTTTGCAAATATGCGACTATTTCCCAAAATCATGATTATCTTTTTGCAGATTACAAAACGTATTTTTGAATTTTACTAAAAATGAAAGATAAAAAAAGGAAAATTTAGAAAACATAAAAGGAAAAAAGGTCTTGCGCCCCTGCACTAGGCCAACGCATCAGAAAATGGGGTACCACTTTGCTAGCCTCCCCCATCCCGCAATGCAGGGACCGCGATTGATATGTATCGCCCGCTGCGATACTCATCGTTGCGCTCACCCGCTATGTTCAATAAGATGGACCGGTTCATCACGAAACCAAGAAGCGTTGCTCTAAAAAAACCATGAAGCGTTCTGTGCGGGAAACGTTCTAGGAACCTTCCACGCTGGTTTGGAAGCTTCCGTATGGTTTTTTCAAGGTGTTTTTTGGTTTTCTTTTAGTTTTCTCTTTGTATTTTTCACTTTTTTTGTTTTTTCTTCATATTTTTATGTTTCTTTGTGTTTTCCAATGTTTTTCAGTTTTCTTTTGTTTTTATTCGTCTTTTTTTTCTGGTTTGTGAGGTGTGGCGCGTGAGTGCGGGAAATTTTTACTTGATGACCGAGAGGTCAAGTATATTTGGTTATTTACTCCTTGCAACCGCTTGAAGTTAAATTTATATTCACCTAACGGTTATAGGAGTTCAACTAGTTCTAGTTTACAGAAGTAACTGGAATTTTTGTTGAAATTGTCTGTCTTCCTCCATCGGTTCGAATTTTTGGAGCAATTGGCTGGAGCATGAATTCAATATGATATCCAAATTAAGAGGTCTTGAGTTCAAGACCCTGCCAACACAGTATTATAAAAACGATTCTGCGGCCTACATCGAACTCATGTCTAGGGACTAAATAAGTCTAGATATAAAGGGGAGTGTTGAAATATATTGCTTGCCTTCCTTTATCGGTTCGAATTTTTGAAGCAACTGGCTGGAGCATGAATTTAATAATTTATACCCCTCTAACAGGTCATAGATGATCGGCTAGAGTTGCTCTTAGGATTCTATATGGGTGAGACATAGCTCTATGGGAAGGATCGTTCGCAGTTGCCTCCGTGAGTGGACGTCAAGTCAACTCTATATTAGCGTCCTTGTATAATCTACAGCCTGAAGAGCAACTCTAGCAGACCTCGTATATCTCGCGAACCCGCAAAATTTCGCCGAGTATACGGGCTCAACCCAATTTTCTGGCCAGAACAGAGCCCGTATACTCGTCTGGCCCGTAAAAAAATTTACCGTGACCCGCAAAACATCCC